TTGTCTTGCATGCGGCCAGCTGTGTCCACCAGCACCACATCAAAGCCTTGATTACGTGCTAGAGAGGGAAAAAAATGGTCAACTCAAAACACGCTTATTTCCAGCTTCCTCTCAAGAAGTCTAAGCCTGGTTATGTTAAAAGTCTTGTCTTTACTTTCCTGGGCTCTGGATCTGGTTACAAGGTTGTATGAGAAAAACAATCTGGTTGGCCAACAAGCATATTCAGGAAGAGGACGGCAATTCGGTAAAGATAACCAAACAGGTTTCTTCAGTGGGGATACACCTATTACCCAGAGGAGAGCATGGTAAGCCATTACTCCTGACTTGTTACTGAGGAGTAAGTTGTGCCTATTTATTTTTTTTTTTTTAGCTGAACCATCCTGCCACCGGTTGGCATGTCAGTGGCAGGCTCAGCGTGGTCCGGGAATTGAACCACTGTTGCTCAGAGCTCCCACTCTTGAGCGAGCTCTTAACCAACTGAGCCACTCGGCCAGCCCTGAGCAGTAAGTTGGTAGTAGGTAACACTACTACCTCAGCAGATTTTAAGGGAACCCAAGGAGGAAAGGGGTCCACACAAGCTCCCACGCTTTCTGTGCACTGTACCAAAGGCAATAGCTTCCATGGCGATGCCAGCAGCATCCTTGCCATAGCCCTTTTCAAACAATTGCACCATGGTGCGGCCACCGTGGTTCTCGGGAGGGTGTAGGGCAGTCAAACGTCGGGTGTGTGTACGCAGCTGTTCCACAGCCCCAGCACGAAATGTGTCGCAGGCAGCAATGAGGACTCTGAAGCCGTTCTCCAATAGCCAGAAGGAAATCTGTACAAAAGAGGCAAAGGAAACTGTCACCTATTAGGTTGTCGGAAAAGTCATGATGCATTTTTGCAACAAAAAAACAGAAAAAAATACATCATGACTTTTCTGACAACCCAATAGAATCAGAGTTGCCAAGACAGGGAGAGTGAGCTGTCAGAGACAGATGGGGAACTGCACTGACCTTAGCAAGATTAGTAGACTTCCCCACTCCGTTAACCCCACAGAAGGTAACAACATAAGGGCGCTGATGACGCTGGGCATCCATGATATCCCGGAGCATGTCTACACGACGCTGTGGCTGCAGAATTTGCACCAGGGACTCTTGTAGAGCTTGCTTTACTGTGGAAGTCACCGCTGAGGAGGAGAGCATCCATGAAACCCAAGGAATGTATTCCAAGAACACCCAACACCTTTCTGAGCTAAGGGAACTAGGATCTGGATACCAGGATACTGCCCCAGAATCCACACTGTATCTGATACTGTCCTAAGTGCTTTACAAATATTAACTCATTTATCCTCCTAAGTTTAAGTTACGTAATAGAAGTCTGGAAATTAAGGAATCTGCCAAAAGTCACACACCTAGTTCAGAATGGAGATCGATGCACTTAACCTCTTGGTATGGATAATGCCCTAAGCACTTCCTGGTTTAGGGAGATACTTACTGCTGAATGTTCCCATCACCTTCCCTTCCAACTTGTTGGCCACAGATTCACAAAGCTGGACTGCAATGTCTGCTGCCACATTCTTAGCTGAGGAGAGACGGGGACAGATGTGGTACAATGTCAACAGTCAACAACCCATTATTATACATCTGAGAAACTCTAGGTTGTTCTATTCCACCATTCCTACCCTATAAACATGCGTCTACCTGTTCCTTAGAACTCACCAATGAGATGATCACGCATCTTGTCCAGCACAGATTCCATATCTTCACGACTCAAGCTCTTGGAACCCACAAGGCCCTTCAGCATCCCAAACATGCCACCCAGAGTCCCCTTGGTAGCACTGCAGGTACAGGAGATTACGATATACTTAAAGCCAGTAGGCAGGAGCCACGCATACCACCCGCCCCCTGAAATTCCCTTACCTAGGTTTGGTGGTGTTTTGAACGGCCCCTTCATCATCTGAGCTGCTGCAGTCCAGGTCCTGAAGCTGCCCCCCAGGCCCAGTCCCTCGAATCTGCAGGGGATTGGGAAAGGAAGGAGATGCGATTAGGAATACCAAACGCTCTGAGATGAAAAAAGCCCAAGATTTACCATCAACATTGCTCTGTCTCTTTGGTTTGGGAAGCTCCAAATGTAACAAACCCACTCAAATCAAAGGTACTGTCCTCCTAGTCTCTTACTTCCTCCTAACTTCCTTTTAATGGTACCTTCACTCTAGTCCCTGTTGACTCTTACCAAGTTGATGTCCTCAGGTGGGGCAGCCTCTGGGGCTCCATTGGTGGTAGGAGGGCTATAATCCAAGTCTTCCTTGTTAGCACAGCCACCCAGTGCCCATACTCGGGGTGCTTTTTTGCCCTTCTCCTTTGGAGCTTCTGACTTCGTGGACTTGCTGCAAAGGGTTACAGCACAGAGGGTTATGGTGGAGAAGCAGGAGAGGAAACCCCCACCCAAGAGCTAGAGAAAGAACTCCCTTGCCCCCAACATGGATAGGTAACAGTATTTATAGGGAAGACTAGAATGCTCACCTGGACTTATCCATACCCTTCCCATGCTTCTGAATGAACTCCTCTCGCTTCCTGCGTATCAGCTCCTCTTTGGAAAGTTCTACCCCATTATCGGGCCCCACTGACTTTTCTGCAGGGACTGCTTTGCCGGTAGCCGAAGGGCCATCAAAACCTGCTAGGAGAAAACTCAATGGAGAAGCAGGACCAGTTCCAACAAAAAAGACAATGGAAAAGTCTGCCAAATCCTTAAAGGGGAAACTAGGAACAAACATCTTGGGGATCACAAGGATGGGCTGATAGTAAGTAGTGAGGGTGGCAGGCATTTGGGAGAGGGAGGCAGGTAATTACAAAGGTAAGGACAGAAAACCCTTTAGTCCTTAATACCACGTTAACTTTTCATGCCCCAGTATGTTTAAGGGGCTCGAACTCACCTTCCTTCTTGGCCCCCTTGTTTTTTTTGTTGTTCTTTGCTTTTTCCTTAGGCTTTTCACCCCGTGTCTCAATCATGGACCTCACAGGTTTCTTGGCCTTTTCAGAATCTTCAAATTTCTTCATGGTGGCGGGGGCACGGATCTTACTGCTTTCCTCTGCTTCACTATAAAGAGAATGGTTAAGTCCAGAGAAGGGACCCTCACAGCAAGAGGGCAATTGAGAACTGGGCCGTAATTTTAGAATCGTCTTTCAATATACAGTTTACTACCCTTGAACCACCCTCAGGAAGGGAGCTCATCAAGTCATGGAAATTGATCTTGGCGAAGGGAGGCCTCTCACCGAAGGAGCCGCAGAAAGTCATTTTGGAAATCGAAAGTGCCATTCAGTAGACTTAAAGCACTTTGCTGTTGGATCTCTGTGCGGTACTTGTCCCGAAACAGCCGGTGCACATCATCTATCAATTTGTCTACATACGTCAGTGTTAGGATCTTCTGAAAACCAACCTGTTTAGGGGAGAAACGGAGCCAACAGATCGGCTTACATGCCAGCCCAGAACAGAGAGAAGCCAACTCAACCTAGGCCGGAGATTGGCTCAGCGACCTGGCAGGTTTCCCTGCCATGAGGGGCAGCCAAGCTCTCTGACTGGGCCCAGGAGCTTCTTCCCTTTACCTGTCACCCTCCTTGTCTTATCAATTACTTCATCATATAACACCTTGTGCAATTAATCAAGGTTCTCTTAATAATCAGGACTATGTTGAGAATGTAATCGTCCCTCTAAAATACACCCACTTACCACAAACACCAGCTCAAACTGGTTGTCCAGTTTATACTTGAGTGTGAGCGCCTCATGGTTGAAGGAGTTGTTGCCTCCCCTTTCCTGGAAAGAGAGTTGTCTCAGAGTTCAGGCTATCCCCAGGAAACCCAGACTTGGGCCCCTCCACGATTACCTTCAGGAAAGAAGCAAACCTTCTCCCCAAGTCAGACCTGTCCCAGGTCAAGGGGATGCTGGGGACTTGCTCTCTATAGCATTCCACCAAGGAGAAAAAGAGATACCAAGTTGGGGGGGGGGGACGACCAAGACACGTGGGAGCCAGAAGGGAAGTAGTCGTCATATAAACAGGTCTACTGGCAGCTGTGTACTATTTACAGTTTGAAAAGGAGTTTTTCCATCCATTACGTTTCCAATCTTCGAAACAACAGAAAACCAAGCTGCCAGGGGCGAACGGAGGAAACGATGGGAAGACTCAAGAGGCATCGAATCCGGCTCCAGTCCCACAAAGTGGAGGGGGAGGGGGCGTCACAAAGTTACCGGACGGTCTGACATGGGCGAGAGAAAGAAGTGGAGTCCCTGCTGCCAGCGAGCAGTGTGAGGGGACGGACAGGGTGGGAGCGACGGGCGGGATCGGTCGAGGGGGACTGTGGATCGGATCGGGGGAATGAGCCCAGAGTTCTGACCCCGCGGGGGCGGTACCTGCAGCAGCACGGAACGAATCAATGCGTTAACGGGCCCGGTGCAGGAGTCGCTCACGCCCTGGAAGCACCAGAGCACGAGTCCGCCCTTTGAGAAAATGGTGAAGAAGTCGAGCATGGCGGCAGCGGTAAAGGAGCCGGGCCGGCGCCGGGAACTGAGGCCGGGACCGCGGCGGCTTCCTGCTGCGCCAAGCGCGGGACACGTCACACCAGCAGCCCCGGAAACCGGCTCATCCGCACTTCCGCTCAGAGCCTCATACCCTCCCCACCTCCGCCCGAAGGCGCGCAGCACTTACGTAAACCCAGGCTGGCCAATGGCGGGTGGGGGCGGGCCTGGGCGGGGCTCTCGGGAGGTCACGGGGAGACGGCGGCCTATAGCGCGGGGGGGCGGAGACCGGAAAGGCCGCTAGCCTATAGGCACGCTGGTCTGAACCGCTGGCGGCGCAGAGTGGTGACGGCTGCGAGTGGCGCGGGAGATAGGGGAACACGTTCAAAGGGGCCGCGTTCTGAGGGGCCATGCTTAGAAGGGCGCTGCGGCTCCGCTGGGGCCGGGGCCCCTTGGGCCGGGGGCTAAGCACACACAAAGGAGGCTCGACTCTGGGTAAAGTTGAGGGCACTGGAGGGTATTATGGTTCTCGGGTTCCCCCAATGTCCGGCTATGTCACCTTGAGGACTTTGGACCCCGACCCAAGCTGGGAAGACTGTGTCAGCTGGGAGAAGGGGTCAGGCTTGCCCGCTGGAGCTTGTAGAGCCTGGACAGGTGTCTGGATCCCAAAGTTGCCTTTCTCAAGTGACAAATCCTAGATCGCTGTATGCCTCAGCTTACCACCAGAATCACAGAGAGCCAGGCTGATTCAGTGGCTGCACAGACGTGCATTAAATCCTACTCGCATGTAGAAGGCTGTGCTTAGTGTTGTGGCCGTGAAGGAGGGAAGAAGAGAAAGAGAGGATTCAATATATGTCCTGAAGTGCCTGGAGTGAAGCTGGAGAGGGAAGACTTCAGTAAACCAGTACAAGACTGGATAGAACCCAACTTGGAGAATGCCCTGCACTGCTAGTCCCCAAAGCTGGTATTATAGAAGTATGTGGAGCAGGTGGGAACTGAGAACAGCCTTGAAGGATGTTTACTGGCCTCAGGAAGGTGTGTGTTCCAGGTTCTGGAGAACTGAGCAATGGCTAAGGAGGAGTCAAGTATTGTTCTTGTGCAAGGAACTAACCAAAGCAATTCGGACAGTTTGAGTAATTGTTTGAAATGTAGTGTGGCCAGGTAAGGTAAGCCCAGATCAACAAAGATTCTAATGCTGCTGAAAATTGTTTGAACTTTGTATTGGGAACAGTGGAAAGACTTGGAGACTTGTGAGTTAGGTATGAAAGACAAAGGATTCGTTTATTCAAGACAGTTATTGAGCACTTAGGATATGTCAGGTACTGTGCGAGGCTGGAAATTCAGTGGTGAAGAAGGTAGACAGTACAGTATGAAGCAATCACACATAAACTCAAAATTGCAAATGCGTTGCATGCTGCAAAAGAAGGGTTCACAGAGCTGTGAGGTAATGTGACAGGAGAATTTGACATTCTAGGGGGTCAGGAAAGGCTTCCTTGAGAAAATGATGGCTGAGATCTAAAGGAAGCAGAGAAGTGGACACAGTTTCAAAGCAGAACACCTGTGATGGGAAGAAGTAAGGCGCCATCAAGGAAACGGGCTGGGGCTGGAGTGGGGGGAAGGACAAAGTGAACAGAAGCATTGTCTCACAGGCCATGTTAAAGATTTTAGACTTGTATCCTTACAGTAATGGAAAGCCATGGGGGGAGAGGGGTTAAGCAAGAGTGAGTGATTAAATTAGTGTTTTGAAAAGATTCTATTGATAGCTATGATGTAGAAAAGAATTTGGGTGGTGGCAAGAGGAGAATTAGCGGGGACAGTTCGGATGCTTTTGCGTTAATCTAGGTGAGAGATTATGGTGGTTTGGTCTAGGGTAGTGGTAGCAGAGAGAAAAAAGGGAAAGATTGGAGATACTTAGGAGTCAAAGCCATGAATGAGGACTTGATAATGGATAGGTGGTGACAGCTATCCAGGATAAAGTGCCACTCAGCGGTACCATGCTTCAGAGGGTGCTGCAGCTCGGATTGTGCTGGGACTTCTTGGTCCAGGAGCCTGGGACATCCAATTGGAGATGACAATGCAGTAACAGTTGAATATATGAACCTGGGGCTTGGAGGAGAGAGAGGTCTGCATAGGAAATGAATATGTGTAAGTCATCTATCCTAGGGAGAGAGTATAGAGTGTTATTTTAGGAAGTTGAATCTTGTAGTGCTGGGTATGATGCATGGAAAGGAAGAGAGACTAATGGCATACAGACTATAGAGCAAAGCTTTGGAACACTGCTGGGTGCAAGTTGACTTAATGAGAGGGGATGACAATGGAGACTGCCAACTCACTGTCAGTGTAGCCCACCTTTTCCTGTGCCCATTCCCTAACTCCCTAACACGTGAAAAGAAAATGTATAGCCCTCTTTGACCATAACTGCGTCCCACAGACTGGGCTGGAAAGGTGCCCGAGATTAAGAAGAAGATCCAGTCATTCCTTCCTGGAGGGGCCTGGAATCCACTGTATGACACCAGCCACCTGCCCCCCGAACGCACAGATGTGGTGATTGTGGGGGGTGGGGTGCTTGGCCTGTCCGTGGCCTATTGGCTGAAGAGGTTGGAGAAACAACAAGGTGCCATTCAGGTGCTGGTGGTGGAACGGGACCACACGGTGAGGTCTGGGGTAGGACAGAGGCATGAGTGGGGCGACTCGGATTTTACTGAGGACTCTAGGGACAAGGGAAAGGAAGGAGAGAAAAGACCGCATTCTTTGGAGGTCCAAAGGGCAGGGACTGTGCTTTGGACCTTGTTGAGAAATAGTCCGATTCTTCCTCCCTCAAACTAGGGACCTTGGCAATGAGGTTTTTGCTTTGGAAAGTAAATTTCACTATGTTGGATCTTTTGCGATCTCACAGGTCTGGCCAAGAGAGCCTGCATTCAAGTTATAACTAACACAAACAGCTATCTCACCCTGCTTTTAGGTTCCATTCATTACTTCTGAGGTTTTCTTCTTAGCTGTTCCTTTTACCACTGCCAGCAAGCCACGAATCTTGCTACTTTGGCCATATCCCTCTATTTGCCAATTAGTTGATCAAATGTTAACCTCCTGCCCTTGGACTTCCAAGCCATTTGTACAACACTGCCCAGTTTTTTCATGATGACTGACCCTCTCTGTTCTGCATATCTGCTAATGAGGACTTTAACAACTATTGTCCTCTCTGGGCTGCCGGTTGACTTGCATATGGATTTATCCATGTCCGCTTCTCTTAGATTATAAACCTGTAAGGAGGACTCTCCTTTAACTTTAGATGCATGACTCACAGCTTCCAGGACAGTGTTCTGCTCATGTGTGGCCCAGTACAACTGGTCTACCTCAACTTCTCTTCCCACAGTATTCCCGGGCCTCCACCGGGCTTTCCGTGGGTGGGATTCGTCAGCAGTTCTCATTGCCCGAAAACGTCCAGCTCTCCCTCTTTTCAGTTGACTTTCTACGGAACATCAATGTACGTGCAGTGAGATTTGGGGTTTGGGATGGTGACCCCTCCTTTAGCTCAGGGAGCAGAAGGAGTTCAGACAAGTAGGATTCAGAGCCCTCGGTCTTATTCCCGGTGGTGGTGCCTAGAGGAGGGCTTCTCTCTTGGTTAGGGCCCTGAGCTGTAGGTGAGGAAGCCAGGAATGCTCTCCCTCCTTCTTGAAATCAGCTTCTTTGAGGTTTTTTTTTTGCACACAGGATTACCTGGGGGTAGTGGACGACCCCCCCCTGGACCTCCAGTTCAACCCCTCCGGTTATCTCTTGCTGGCCTCAGAAAAGGGTGCTGCAATCATGGAAAACAACGTGAAAGTGCAGAGGTGGGTGCCTGGCATGGCCTCGGAGCTGCTTCTCAGCTGCATGCATCCAGTAAGCTCCTATCCCAAGTCAGGACTAGGATGATGGAGCGGGTAAAACAGGTCCCTACTCTCTAGGAGCTCAGTCTATCATGAAAGGCAGGCACGTGCAGACTTTCCGTACCCTATGCTGAGTGCTGTGATACAGATACGGACAGAGGGCTGCTGTGGTGGATCCCAAATTGCCAGATGATAAGAACCACCCAGGACACGTTCCAGACCTAATAAATCAGAATCTCGGGAGAGGCCCAGGAATCTGCAGGCATTTTCTGTAAGAGCCAGATAGTAACTATTTTAGGCTACACGGGCCATATGGGCTCTATTGCAATCACTCAACTCAAAATTGAAGCACAAAAGCAGTGACAGACAAAAATGTAAACGAATGAAAGCTGCTTATCCTAACATGGAGGCCTGTAGCTTGCCAGCTTACAGCCTCTGTCCCTGGCTGATCGCAGCCGGCTCCCCACAGCTTGTATACAAAATTAGGCAGCAGACTGGATATGGCAACCCTGCCCTAAGTCATTGGTCAGTCAGGAGAGTGTCTTCAACAAACACTTCTCCAAGTCTCACTAGTGGCATCAGGTAATGTCCTAAATGCATTACAGAGATTGACTCATTTAATCATCAAAACATCCCCCATTTTACATGTGGGGAAATTGAGGCATGAGGAGCTAGTAAACAGTGGCACTGGGATTCTGGCTTGCGAATGTCTTCTTTTAGCACCTCCGTTGCTGCCTTTGGATGATGGTGTCCTCAAGGAGGTGGTTGTGCTGGTGGACAGGATTGAGCCAGGAGATGGGCAGGAAGGCTGTCCCAGGCACAGTGGAGGGAATAGAGTGACTGCCCTGTTGTGAAAGGACTGGCATAGAGGATGACAAGGAACTTAGTGTGGCCAAAGGGAGACTAGCGTGTAGGAAAGGAAGGAGTGGTCAGATGCTGAAGAGCCTTGACTAGGAGACTTGGGCTCCACGAACTCAGCAAGGAGAGAAAATGGGGGAGGTTGGGGCAGAGAAGGGACATGAATGAGGTAGAGTCTCCACTTGTGGAGTTGGATTCATACTGCTCCCTCTCAGCACACTCACCCTCTGTAACACACACAAAGACCCACACGTTTCTCTCAGGCAGGAAGGAGCCAAAGTGTGTCTGATGTCTCCTGAGCAGCTGCAGAACAAGTTTCCCTGGATCAACACAGAGGGAGTGGCCTTGGCGTCTTACGGTGAGGCTTGCTTGCAGAGGGGATCAGGGGTTACAGGGCACCTCAGGTTGAAGTCTCAGCACCCCACAGCCACGTCAAGGAACACTTCCCTCCTGGCCAGCAGGGCCTCCCCAGACCATGCCAGCTCTGTATCCTTCAGGATTTGACTCTGGTGCTATTGGTAAACTTGACTTCCCCCAGCTTATGCGCCCAAAGAAGAGTCGGGGGGAGGGTGCAGGAAATACAATAGGAAAGGAGGGTTCTAGTCCCTCTTCATGAGTCCTCTTTTTATCATCACAGGGTTGGAGGGCGAAGGTTGGTTTGACCCTTGGTGTCTGCTCCAGGGGCTTCGGCGAAAGGTCCAGTCCATGGGGGTCCTTTTCTGCCATGGAGAAGTGACACGTGAGTCTGAGGCCCCATGCCCACTGCTTGTTTCCTCTGCCAGCCAGGGTGCAGGCCTAGACTATGTCTTATTCTCACTGACAGGCCAAGCAAGGGTTGGTGGGGGAAGGGGCTTCCCCTGAGGGAGTGGTCCTGGGCATCCTGGCTCTGGCTCCTGGTTAGGCTTCTTCCTAACTCATGATCTGCTTGAAGATTACAGCACCCTCCTGTCCTGAATGTGGCTACCCTATCTCTGTTTGCTTCAGTGTCTATGGGAAAACTCCCAGCTTTCCAGCTTTCTTTCCTTATAAAACCAGTGGAACCTCCATCTCCTTCCTTTTCAAGGCCTCAAAGCCTTATTTTTTCTTTGTCCTGCAGGTTTTGTCTCTTCATCTAACCGCATGGAGACCACGAGTGGGGAAGAGGTGACTTTGAAAAGGATCCATGAGGTCCATGTAAGTTCCCAGCCTGAGTATCTTCCTTACCAAAGTGGAGGGACTAGAAAGGTAACGCCTCTCATTGTGATCTACTTCTACCCACTTCTAGTATGGGTAAACTAAGGCTCAGGAAGAAGTGTACCTCTTACGGTGGCCAGTGTGTGGGCCAGGCTCTCCCACCCACCCCCCCATCTGGTGCCTGCAGGTGAAGATGGACCACAGCCTGGAGTACCAGCCTGTGGAGTGTGCCATAGTGATCAACGCAGCAGGGGCTTGGTCTGGGCAAATCGCAGAGCTGGCTGGTATCGGGAAGGGGCCGCCTGGCACCCTGCGGGGCACCAAGCTACCCGTGGAGCCAAGGAAAAGGTGACTTTCCCCAGGGCAGCGGAGGAGGTTGGTGAGAGAAGGAAAGAAAAGATACAAAAAGTTGTTAAGTGGGGGAAGGAGGGAGTTGCTATTCCCGCCACTTCCTAACCCCGCTGGTTATGGCAGGTATGTGTACGTATGGCACTGCTCCCAAGGACCAGGCCTGGGGACTCCACTCGTTGCAGACTCCAGTGGAGCCTATTTCCGCCGTGAAGGATTAGGAAACAACTACTTGGGGGGCTGTAGCCCCACTGAGGTATGCTAAGTGGGGTCAGAGGTGCTGGGAAGGAGGCAGACCAATTGTGATTAAAGAGTCAGGCCTTTTGGGAGGGCCCAGTGCTGTTATTGAATTGGGTTTGAATTGGGATCTGTTGTCCTCATCCCCCACCTACTGAGGGGATTGATTAAAGGGGCCCGTGAGATCGGGGTCTGCCCTTGTGTCCCAGGTAATATAAGCCTTGTCCCCACCTCTCACCCCAGGAGGAAGAACCAGACCCAGGGAACCTGGAAGTGGACCATGATTTCTTCCAGGGCAAGGTGTGGCCCCATTTGGCCCAAAGGGTACCGGCTTTTGAGAACCTGAAGGTAACTAGGAGGAGACAGGTGACACTGAAGCATCTTGGTCCCTTTGGAAAGCCTGTTCTCCCTCCATCTCACAACTGCTAAGGACTGTTGGTCTAAAGACTCATCCCATCGACCCCTCTCTGTAGTGGTAGAGGGTACTGTGTGCTGATGCCTGACCAGGAGTCAGGGTGGGGGATCAGCAGCCTTCTGGAGAACCCCAGCATCTTCTGTACCTGCAGGTTCGGAGCGCTTGGGCTGGCTATTACGACTACAACACCTTTGACCAGAACGGCGTGGTGGGCCCCCACCCACTGGTCGTCAACATGTACTTTGCCACGGGCTTCAGTGGCCATGGCCTCCAGCAGGCCCCCGCCGTGGGTCGAGCTGTGGCTGAGTTGGTGCTGGAGGGCCACTTCCAGACCATCAACCTGAGCTCCTTCTTCTTCAGCCGCTTTTACTTGGGAGAGAAGGTCACGGAGCACAATATCCTTTGAACCTGTAAGCTCTTCACTGGCCCCATATCCCTATCTGTCACACCTGGCTCAAATCATGGCCCATGTTCACCTATTCCTCCCTCGCACCATGCCAGGATTCCCTCCACCCTCATCCTCTTATTCAGGTCATCCTGCCCCCATATGGCTGGGCAGGTGTGTGAACTGCAAGCTCTGAGGTTGTGCACCTGAGGCCCAAACTGACAGAGAATGATGGGGCAGGACCCTAGGACATCCCTGGCCCAGGCTGATACCACCCACCCAGGTAGTCCGGCTGGACAGAACACCTCAGGGGTGTTGAGCACCACGGCCCACGACTGGCCTTCCTGGCACTGACCCTGGAATGATCACCTCTGCCCTCTCGGCATACCCCAGCAGAATGAAGGCAGGGGGCATTCTGGGGCAGCCTGGCCCAGATTTACCAAACAATAAATGTGATTTATTCCTGCTTTCCAGTCTTCTGACCCTCCCTCTTTTTACCTCACAGCAGCTGCTTTTGAAGGACCCCAGTAGCCTTTGAAACCAGGCTGGGAGGAGCACAACCTCCTCCTCACCCCAGGAGCATTCTTAAATCCTAGGTTGTAGGCATTTGTTAGCAAGCGAATGCCTCTTTTTGACAACTTCCTGCAGGGGTGAGGCTGTAGAGGGAAAGAATGTGTCCATTCTTCAGTATTTATTCAGCTCCAACCCTTGGCCAGATCCAGGGCTACATCGAGAGACACCAGCAAGCAAAACCTAAAGGATGAGCAGCTTGAAGTGAATGCAGGGGGAAGTGGGGAGGAGAGTGGGAAGGGGGTGATTCCAGGCTGACGGGAAACCGTATTCAAAGGCCTAGGACCAAGAATTAGCAAGATTCAAGGGCCTACAAGTAATTTGTCCTGGCTAGGTCATTGGTGTGAAAGAAGAGGTGCAGTGGGGCTTGGGGCTGGAGAACCTTGCTGTGGAGCGTAGATTTCATTCTGCTGGCAGAGGCCACTGAAGGGTTTTCAGTAGGGAAGCGACATGATCACATGTTCCTTTTAGAAAAATCACCGTCTGCCTTGTGGAGAGCAGAGTATGATGTCAAAAGCAGGAGGCCAGATGGGAGGCTCTTGCTATGTAGTCCACACAATGGCCTGTACTGCCCAAGAGGCTACATTAGCAACAAGAGATGGCATCATGTGAGACTCGCATCTCTGGCTTGTACAACGGGATGGGTGTCATGCCTTTCACTGAGACGAGGAAGGCTGGGGAAGCGCAGTGAGGGACAAACGAGTGGTATGGTTTGGGACATGTTAAGCTAAGGCGTGCCTGTAAGACACCTGTACAGATGTCTAATGGGGTTGAATTTATTGTAGGCTTAGGATGGTCTGGGCTGAGGTAGAGATGTGGGCAGCATGGAAAAGGATGGCATCACTGGGAGGGTAGAAGAGTAGAGGGCCAAGGGGGGAGACGGGAGGGACCCCCACCACCTTTAAGGGATGAATCAAAGAGGATGCTGGAGAGGTGGCCAAAGGCAGGAGAAAAGCCAGGAGTTGAGGGGTCAGGAGCCTAGGAGGAATGGTCAACGGTATAAATGCATGTGGGGAATGGATGCAGCGCAAGTAGACCAGGGGGACCTCGGGGAGCTGCTCCAGGAGGAAGTGCACCTTAGTGAGGTCTGAGGTGTGGGCAGCTGTTCAGAAGGGAGAAGTAAATGTGAGTAGAGACAGCTAGTAAAATGCCCCGGCACCCAAAATGGTCTTTGGGGAGAATGAAGCAAGACAGCTGGAGGTGGGCCTCACTGACGATCAGGTGGGTCAGGGAGGGAGGAGAGGGCAGACATGCTGCCACTGAGGTAACAGAATCCCCCGAGAGGAGGTGGGGGTGGGGGGCGCAAAGAGCCAGGAAAGAGGAAGAACCACCGGAATTTGGTGCTGAAAGGCAGGAAGGAACTTGCCAGGGGCAGAGGGGCCATGTTAACCCTGCGAGGTGGCCTCCTTAGGTGCCCCAAACGCAGCAGCCCTGCAGTACAGACAACCCTACCTGTGGGTCTGAGGAAAAAGGCTTTCATCTGATCAGGTCCATGCCCAGAAGCTACTTCCTTAGCGATAACAAATGCAAGCACTTAGGTAATAAGGGAGTTGGTTACGGGAACTCAGGTTCGGTGCTGCTTGTGGCCCAAAGAGCCAGAAAACACTAAAGCGACAAGGGTTGGGGAGAAAAGCGTCCTTTATTCTAGATGCCGGCAGCTAGGGAAGATGGCAGATTCATGTATAAAAAAAACACCTTTCCGGAGCCAAAATGATTAAGAGGTTTTATAGGCAGGTAAATGGGAAAGAACAAAGGAAAGCAGGCCTCAGGAATAATAGCTGAGAGGTCATCTCCTGGGGTCTTCTGAGGCCTCAGGTCTGCCTCAATGTTATCTTAAATCTCATTGTCCATAGCCATCTGCGGAAAAACTGCTGGGGAGTTGTTATCTTGGGTCCAGATATCTGGGCACCTGAGGATTAAAGAAGCTGCTCTTTTCGGGTTAAGATGTTTGTGAATTAACAAGGTATGGGTAGCCTGGACAAAGGGAAAAAACGGAGTTCTTCAGTTAATCAGTGGGAGGCGAAACAAAGAGGAAACAGCTGGATATCAGGATGGATCAAACTGCAAACTAGCTAAGTTTAGTTACATTATTGATCACCAAATTTTACCTTACAGAAGCATTAGTGGACCCTCTTGTTCCCACAGAGCTTTATTCAGGCTTCTAGGACACTAATCGTTGCATCCGGGTGTCCTTATTAAACAGCGAGGGACGGGACCAAGCCTTCTTCCCCTTTGCGCCAACACCGAGCTACCGCAGTGCTCAGCCAGTGTTTACCTGGGTACCTCTCTGCTCCGCCTGGAGCCCGGAGGTGGGCCCCTGGCCTCAGGGAATCTTCAGTCTAACGTTAGGGCTAAGCCGCGACAGCACAAGCTCGGAGTAGCACCCGGTACTGCGAGGATTTGCGGGAGGAGGTGGGAAGGGAGGGTTAAGAAAGGTTTTCCTGATCCTTGCCAGAAGCGGGCTGTTGAGAGCAGACCGGGGAAATGGAGAACACTCTGGGCGGAGGGGACAACAGGGCCCAGGCGTAGAGCTGGAAGAGCGGAGAGACTCTCCTCCCAAGGCTGTGGGTGTTCCTGGTGGGGCAAGGGCTCATCTGCAAGTTTCTGCCCAGGTGCCCGCGAGCCCACTTGAGGGCACGAGCCCCTTTCCGCGGCCGGGGAGGCGGGGCTGGCCTAGCCCCGGGCTACACCCCTCCCGCACCTCCCGGAGCTGCTGGGCCGAGCTCAGGAGGAGGCGGGGCGCGGCGCGGGCGCTTCCGGGGAGGGGGCAGTGCTCGGGCCGGCGCCACACTTCCCCTCGGCTAGGGCGGTTGGCCCCACGCCCTAGTCCGCACCACACGGTCAGCACCGCAGCCCGACCTGGTCCCTGCGCAGGTGAGCGCCCGGAAGCAGGCGAGGGGTAGCGGTGGGACCCCCCTAAGGGCTGGGGCCAGGGACCAAGGTGGGAGGGCGCCCTCGGGGCGGGCAGGACTTGCATCTGGCGCTGAGCCCCGCACTCTGCTCAGCCCTAGGCACACCTGCCGATCCGCCGCCTCCCTCCCTCCCTCCTGCCCGTTTACCCTATGCCTCGGGCACCCAGATTACGAAAAGGGCCTCCGAGACAGCTGTCACCTTCTTGTCGCAAAAAGAAGCGGGTGCAAGGAGCCCTCCTTGAGCTGGGGGGAGGTGCCTGGCTCGATCGGGTTGTTTTTCCCACGGGCTACCACAGCCTTCCCTGCTCTGTTCGCTGCCTCTCCCTCTGCTCTTTTGATGGTGACGGTATTTCTTTGTGCCGGTATTTCAGGAAGAACCTGGCTTTACTTAGGGTAATGACCTGTCAGGCTTTCATTCCTTCCACAGCCGTTTCACTGTCCACCATGGGCAGGGCAGCGTGAGACGTGCAGACACTGTCCTCGTCCTCCTCCTGGAGACAGAGGGTGAATTAGAAATCACAGCTGACCCGGATAAACGCCACTCAGAGAGGGGAAGTTCTGTAGCTGACACACCTCACCCAGGGAGCACCAAGGGTCAGGAATGATTGAGTGACTGTCACAGGAAGTCATGTCTAGTTGTTTTTAAAACTTTTCTTAAAATTTCACAAATCATAAATGTACAGCTAACCCAGTTTTTACACAGTGAACATTTCCTGTGCAACCTGCATCGAGAATAAAGAAAACATTTTTAGCTATCCAAAAGCCCTCTTACTCCCATTTCCGATTACTACTATCCTGGCTTCCAACGCCATACAGTAGTTTTACCTGGTTTTCAGCTTTTGATATGTGGAATCGTATGTTATATGCTTTTTGTGTATGGCATTTTATACTCAACATGTGAGATTCACCCATGTTGTATGTAGCAGTAAATAGTTTGTTCTCACTGACTTACAATGTTGTGCTGGATGGATAGACCACAATTTATTACTTTCTACATGCTACTGGACACTTGGATTGATGGACACAGGTTGTTTCCAGTTTAGGGTTTTTTAAAATAGTGCTGCAAAGGCTTTCTCATGATGGTCTTTTGGTGAATATATGTAAGCACTTCTGTTGGGTTTGTTCCTAGAGTGAAATTGCTGGATGATACAATGTTCAGCTTTAGTATAGGGTGTCCGTTTTTCAAACTGGTTGTACCGATTTACTCTTCTACCTGCAGTGTGTGAGTTCCTGTTCCTCCTCACCCCATGTTTGATATTGTCTCTCTTTCAATGTAACCATTTTGCTCAGTCAGTGTGGGTGTTTTGCATTGAGGTTTTAATTTGCATTTCTCTGATGACTAACAAATGACTTATACATCTTTTTATGTACCTACTGGTCACTTGGATGTACTTTTTGCAAAGTGTGTTCGGTTCTTCTGGCCATTTTTCTAGTAGATTGTCTCTTTTTCTTACTAGTTTGTAAAAGTTCTTAAATATTTTGAATATGAGCTATTTATTGGATATGTATTTTTAAAATCTTTTCTCTCTCTCAGAAGATTGCCTTTTCACTCTCCTTATGATGTCTTTTGATGAACAGAAGTTCTTCATTTTAGTGTCCAATTCATGGTTTTTTCTCTATGGTTGTACGATTTAAGTCCAGTTGTAAAAAAAATCTTTGCCTACCCCAGGAGGTAAAAGGGGTCAAAAGGTACAAACTTCCAGTTATAAATAAATAAGTCATGGGTATATAATGTACAGCATGGTGACTAGAGATAATAGTACTGTATTGTATATTTGAAAGTTGCTAAGAGAGTAGAACTTGAAAGTTCTCGTTACAAGAAAAGAATTGTAATAATGTGAGGTGATAGATATTAACTAGACCTATTGTGATGTTCATTTTACAATATATATATATCAAATCATTATGTTGTACATCTGAAACTAATATAATGTCATATATCAATTATATCTCAATTTTTAAAACATCAGGAGGATAATCAATATTTTCCTCTAAAAGCTATATTGTTATTCTCACTCATGTCTATTAGCCATTCAAAATTAATTTTTTTGTATGGTGTGAGATATGGGTCAAGATTTACTTTTTTTTCCCACAAGGCTATCTAAATGGACCCAGCACCCTCTATTAAAAAGACCACCTTTCCCCACTGTACTGCAGTGTCAGCTTTGTCATAAATCAGATTGTTCAGATGTGAGTCTGTTTCTGGACACCCTGTTCTTCCATTAGTTTGTCTATCCTTGTTCATCAGTATCATGCTGTCTTAATTACTGCTGTTTTATAATAAGTCTTTATTCTGGTAGTAGAAGTCCTCAGCATTGTTGTTGATCTTAGGTATTTTTATCTAGCCCCCCGCCCCCAAAGCCTTTTTCAAAAATATATCAAAAGTAGTCATTTTGTAATCTCAAAAAGGGGACTAATGTATAAGGCTATATAATTGGCATAATTTGTAAACTGTATCCATCCATAAATTCACTGCTGACACAATCTATATTATGTTCAGTACCTGCATATGTACATGAGACCTACAACAAAGTAAATACAAAATAAACTCACATCATTTTAATTAAAAATGACCTTTAGAACATAGATGATATAATTTCAAAACAAAAGGAATTTTTAAAATTAAGCAGCTGAAATTTTCCAAAGACCCATTTGCTACTTTTTGCAAAATAGAGCAACATTAATTATAATGTTTCCCATTCATGTTTGGTCAATAAGATATGCTCCTATATAATTGAAATACAGCCAAGGTTTTGGACTTTTTGACATTTTTTTAAAGTCTTCAAAATTTACAAAATGTAGTGCTGAAAGCGTATGTGCCTTGCTATATATTCAGCAAACATGATTTATTTTAAGACAGGTCATAAGACTTCAGTTAATTAACCAGAATTCTGTGACTGTTTTCTGCCTGCTGGCATTTGATCTTAAATCTGACTTTATAGTAAAATCGGTAGTTTAGAATTTATTTCACAAAATCAATCCCAAGTGCAGGGCACTTTTCAATTATTTCATAGCTTATAAATTTAAGTAACAATATAAATTGAGATTAGTGGTTTCTTGTATCAGAATTACCTGGAGAGTTCTTAAAAAATACAGATTCTTAGACCCCACTTCTGAACTGTTGAGGAGGAATCTCTAGCGGTATCTATCTTTTTAGAAAGCTCTCTAGGTGATGATAATATGCAGCTTGGTTTGAGAACCACTTATGTGGCCGTGGGCCAATCCTTAGGGACATCAGAATCCTGGGGTACTTGTTAAAAAGTCAGGCTCCCAGGTTGGCCGAGTGGCTCAGTTGGTTAAGAGCTCACTCAAGAGTTTGAGCTCTGAGCAACAGCAGTTCGATTCCTGGCCTGAGCTGAGCAGCCACTGAGCTGCCAACAGGCGGCAGGATGGCTCAGCTTAAAAAAAAAAAAAAAAAAAAAGTCAGGCTTCCAAGCCTTATGCCCAGAGATTTGATTCAGCAGATTTGGGATGGGGCGCAGGAACTGGCATTTTAAACCATCGTTGTAGTTGGTCTCTGTACTAATTTTCTGTGCTGCAAAACATATTACCACAAATTTAGCAGCTTACCCAACACCTATTTATTATCTCATAGTTCCTGTGGGTCCAGGCAGGTTCCAGGCAAGGCTTGGCCGAGCCTTCTGCTGGAGTCTCACCTGACTGCAGTGCTATCCGAACCTCAGATGGGGGAGATCCACCACCAAGCTCCCTCAGGTGGGTGGGTTTCGGCAGAATTCATCTCCTTGCACTTGTAGGACTGAGATCTGTTTTTTGCTGGCTGTCAGCTGGAGACCACTCTCAGCTTCTAGACACTGCCAGCAGTTCCTTGACACCTGACCCTCTCACAACATGGCAGATTCTTCAGTCAGCTAGGGAGTCTCGCCAGTCTGCTAGGGTGGACTTATATACATACACACATGCATGCACATACATGCATATGCACACAATATTCATATATATGCTATATTTATATACACACATCTCATATATAGTAAATATGCATAGTGTATGTGTATATATACACTCATGATTTGTTACTATATATATGATATATACACACTATACATCATATATATAGTGTAACATAATCTTATGAGTGACATCCCATAGCCTTTGCCATATTCTACTGGTTAGAAGTCATAGGTCCTGCCCACACTCACAGATGTGAACATGGGGACTGCCCTAGGGTCACCACAGTCCGCAAAACCACTTAGAAACACTGTATTGTGTCTATCAAGCTATGAACAATTAAATTCAGCACATTAGGTGACATTGTCCTGCAAGTCCTAGTGAACTTGCCCCCAAAATGTTTTAGCAAGTGTTTGAGATGAAAACTTAGCTTTTGAAACCAGCATTCTTAATTTAAAGTCAAAAGCAAGTGAAATGTAGATGCTCATTTATCCATCAAAGAAGTAAAAAACTCTTTCAAACAGTTAACCTTTTAAACAGACCACTTTTTAGCATTCACAGCCAATACTTTCTCCATTCGTTAGCCTGATATACAATCAGAGGCAGTGTATTAGTTTCCTATTGCTGCTGTAACAAGTCACCACAAACTTAGTGGCTTAATACAACACACATTTATTGTCTTACTGTTGTGATGGTCAGAAGGCTAACATGAGTCAGCAGGGCTGTATACCTTCTGGAAGTTCTGGGGAAGAAGCCATGTACTTGCCTTTTCCAGCTTCTAGAGCAGGGGTCAGCAAACTGTGGCTCGCAAGCCACATGCGGCTCTTTGGGTACGTACATGTGGCTCTGAAGTAAAATTGAAAATGAAAATAAAACTATCATAGTTTCATTTATAAAGTTTTTAAAGGATATTATTCACATAATGGTGGTTTCATTTGTTTTATGGCTTTCGAATTTTTCAATTGTCGTGAGGGACAGGATTGGCTATTCCATCTCAAAAGTTTGCCGACCCCTGCTGTAGAGGACCCCCACATCCCTTCCTGTGGTCCCAGATTACACACACCTCTGTTTCTGTTGTAACATCTCCTTCTCTCACTCTGACCCACCTGCCTCCCTCACATAAGACCCTTGTGATTACAGTGGGCCCGCTTGGGTAATCCAGGATAATCCTCTCATCTCAAGACCCTTAATCACATCTGCAAAGTCCCTTTTTGCCATGTAAGGGAGCATATTCACTGGTTCTAAGGATTCGGATGTGGACATCTTTGGGGGACCATTATCCTATCTACCACAGACAGTGATTACGGTTTAACATAACTGTAATGTGAATTATATAAGGTACATGTCCTAATCATATGCCTTCATAGGTTTCAGTACAATCCCTACATAATAGATATTGAAGACCAGTTAGAAATTGGATAATACTTCCTACACTTTGGATTTTATATCGTGAAACTTCATAACATGTCCCTCACATAATAAGTTCCTGCGTGACATTGAGAAGGCATTCTAAAAAACACCAAAGATATCATACTGCTGCTTTTTATGAAGAAGCTCTTCTTTACTAATTTTCTATCAAGTCCTTGTAATGATCTACTAAGTAGGTATTTAGGTATACATCAGTCTACTTTATGAATTTTTTAAAAGGACAAGGAAAAGTGACTACAGGTAAGTCCACACAGCAAATCAGAGAACTGACAGAGCTGGTTGACTAGACCTTCCAGCTATAGAGTTAAGTTCATTATCTGCTTTGCAACTATGTCTCCTAAATCTCCATATATGACTCATACTAAAACTTGTAAAGATTAAAACATATTTGAGTGTGATAGCTCCACCGGTGTGATACCAATGCCTGGTCTCATCGGGTTAGTTTTGAGCCCAACACTATAGCCTCAGTTGCACAGAAACTGAAAAGTAACAAGGCAGGTGCCGTGGGGTTTTAGACTCCAGGAAGTAGACAGTAAATGGCTAATGGAACTTACCTGCCATCTTGCTCAAATATCCTCTGTCAAAGATGCTGTTATTTCTTGTATTTAAACTTCTCCATAACATTAGTCACAAGGGCTATACCAACCCACTTCCAGTGGCACATGCTGTTGGGCAACTGGATTTATTAACCAAGCAATGGAAAAAGGCAATTACCCAAAAATCGGCACGTATTGCCAGAAGGACAAGTCATTTCATAAAAGGAGAAACTGAAACTTTTAAATCTACATCTATGAGTACAATGTTATGTTAATTTTTAATCTTTAGGCTATCATTAAAAATATCAAATGATTCTCATTTGTAAGTGTATCAAGGCCAAATAATGAATTTTAAAATTAAAACAAAATTGAAAAAATATTTAAATACTATAAAAACCAAGTGACATTATGTCTACTACTGGAGGGGAAAAAGGATATCTTGAAATGTTGAACTAAAGATGTCGAGAGACAGCAACCCCTGACCAGGAAAAGGAT